CACTACAACCATACTACGCAATGCTCAAATGACCCTAACCATTCAAAACAGATCTAAGACAGGTCAAAATAGTGGCAAAAAAACATGCTAGACTTGTAGCATAGATGGCAAGAACAATAAGCTCATGTATTAGCTCACAAACAAGGCATAATGCTCAACTTTGCAAAAGCATTGAAAGAGTGATTTAAGTGGAAGCATGGAAAATATATAAGTTCTGAAATCACCTACCGAATGATGCCATATCATGCACACATCACAAATATAGCATGCTACGAGCCTCAAAACTCAAGACTAGTGAAGCCATTTACACTATATCTATACAAAGCAAGCCCCAAAGGACCAAGATGACTCGAAAAAGTCCTAAAGCATGTCAAAATAATACCAAAACATGCATGGAGTATAGCCAATACAAGCTAGCATGAAAGGCCAAAACACCGAGTACACTAGGCTAATGGGAAAGATTGCACAACAAGTGCCAAAACCAAGCAAGAGGTGACTCCACCAACCAAAATCAGAGTTATGATATGGAAAATAATGGCTAAAAACATGCTTGAACCAAGCAAATTCAAGGCACAAAGACATGCTACTTTGCAAGGCTATAAGTAGGATTACACTACAAGTACAATAAGCATGCAAGAGATGACCATGACAGCCAAAAACAGAGTTAAGACAGGTCTAAAAAGTCACAAAAATGAGCCTAAATAAAGCCACAAAGAAGTAGAAACACATGCTCTTTTGGTGGGCCAACAACACAAGCAAACAAGAGAATATGAGGGGGGACAACCCCAACCATTTGGGACCTCAAAATCACATTTCCACCACTGAAATTCCCCTAGAATTCAGTGGTAAGAAGGCCAAAAGGAGATAGTTTCAAGGGCTTTAAAAGGTAGCACAAAGCAAAGCAAATAAGGCACAAAAGAGTAAGAGACACCCCTAACTCAAACAAGTCCTTAAACAACCTTTTTAAACACTTCAAAACAAAGGTTTTTACAGTTGAAAGCTAAGCCAAAAGAAGCATGCAAAGATGACTAAGTAAGTAACTAAAACAAAGCTTTAAAAAGAATATGACTTACCCTTGAAGAACAGCAAAACCAACGGCTTTTCTGAGTCAAAAACTAGCTTTTTAAGCTCCAAACAAACCTTCAAGAATCTCAGCTCCAAGGTAGTGGTGTTTGACTAGGTGCTTGTAGGCAAAAATGTGAAGAACACTCACTTTTGAGCACAATGTAAAACAATATAGAAAGAGAGAGAGAGAGGGAGAGAACTCTAGAGAGGGAGTGAAATTTTTTACTCCAAATCTCAGAACCTCTGGAAAAGGGAGAGAGAGCTCCCCTCTTATAGAACAATGCAACCACAAGCTTGCTTGACAAGCTTAAACTTGTTTGAATCCCTCCATACACGTGTATGGAAGATGCATTCAGTGCCCACTAGCTAGCACAGCTGGCACCAAAAATATCTGCAAAAGAAAAAAAAAGGCCGTAGACCACTTAAAGTGGTCGACCGACCACTCCCCCTAGTCGACCGACCACCTCAGGTGGTCGACAAGAAAAAAAAAACTGGCTGGTAGGGGAGAAAAAGGGTCTACAAAGAGAGGAAAATGTGGTGGCAGGCTGTAGACCACTTAGGCTGGTCAACCGACCACCTACCCTAGCTGACCGACCACCAAAAGTGGTCTACAGGAGAGAAAACTGGCTGGCAGGGGAGAAAAGTAGTCTACAAAGAGAGGAAAAGGTGGTGGCAGGTTGTAGACCACTTTAGGTGGTCCACAGACCACCCACCCTAGCTAATTGACCAGCAAAAGTGGTCTATAGGGAATAAAAGTGGTCTACAGGGGAGAAAACTGGCTTACACCGCTGCTCCACCCTCTAGGCAAGGGGTAACAAGGTTTGGTTCAAGAACAAACCAAAAAGGAAGAAAGACAAGAGTTCGAAAGACAAGACACTCAGCCGAAAGCTTCGAAAACTAGTCTACGGGCCACTATAAGTGGCCTACGAGAGGGAAAGGTAGCCTATGGCTACAAGAAATGGCCTACAGGCCTTTTTTTCCCTCTAGGCAAAGGTAGCAAGGCGTGGTCCAAAAACCAGGCCAAGAGGAGAAAGTTAAGAGGTCCCAAGACAAGGCGCTCAACCGAAGGCTCCGGAAACTCAAAACGAGCACAATCATCGAGCGCTCAATTGATGACGTCTGATTCTTAAGGTCGGTCAAAAATTGGGTGTCTACAGTTGGGTGGATGGTTGTTGGTGAATGAATATTGGGTGAATGATGAATGATTGTTGGTGGGTGTTTGTTGGTGAATGAATGCTGAGTGAATAATGGATGGTTGTTAATGGGTAGTTGGTGATTGTTTATTTTTTAATGTAGTTAATAATTTCATTATTATTATTATTATTATTATTTTTGGTAATGGTATGTTTTTTGGTAGGGTGAATTATATTATTTTTTTTAATTTTTCAAATTTTGTTTTCATTTTTTATATTTGTCTAATAGGAAATAATGTAAATATATAATTTTTTTTACAAACAATTAAAAAAAATATCACAAAAGACAAAAAATAAACAAACAAAAAAAAAATCACTAAAAAACCTATATCTAAACAACACCTACAAATTTGGAGGGAAATTGATTGAGATTTGCCAAAATAACATGTGACCATTAGAGCACAATTGCTATAATTTGACAAATTACTATTATTAATTGCTAAATTATAACAATAATAATACTATTATAACAAATATCATTAGAGATGCTCTAAAACTAACAGCATCTCTCTAGTTGGCTATTTTGGGTCAATTTCATATTAACGAACTAACAAATGGAAATCAACATTTGACTTCTCTCAACCTCTATTTATTCTATTATTTGGCCAGGGAGAAGAGAAATAATTAAAGCACTTGCCACTAGGGGTGCAATTCGGGCGGGCTCAACCCGAGCAACCCGAGCCCAACCCGAGTTTTTTTAGGGCTTGGTCAACTATATCTTGTAATCTGGACGGGCTTGGGCAGATTTTTGATACCCGAATTGCAATTCGGGCCGGGCTTGGGCAGAACCAATGGCCAACCCGAGCAACTCGAACCCGAATTCAATTTAATATATTATATAAATTATATAATATATAATATATAATATATATATATAATTTAATAAATTATGTAATATATATAAATTAAGTAAAAGAGTTAGTCTTAATTTTTATTTATTTATTTTTTTTTGGTTAGTCTTCTATTAAGTAAAAGAGTTAGTCTTAATTTTTATTTTTTATTTTTTATTTTTTTTTGGTTAGTTTTCTACCATTAGATTAGCATCTTTTATGTCTACCCTTAGATCTACCTACAGGTTTCTGAACTCGGACAATTCGGGCAATTCGGGCAATTCGGGCAACCCGAGTTCAAAATACAAAGCTTGGGCCGGGCTTGGGCAACAATGTTCGGGTTCATGGTCGGGCTTGGGCGGGCTTGGACAGTGCCAAATACAATTCGGGTCGGGCTTGGGCAAACCCCCAACCCGACCGAACCCGCCCGAGTTGCACCCCTACTAAGAGGTTTTATAGTTAAACCTCACAAAGACTAAGGAGTTGTTTTGAATGTTCTAAATAAGTATATTTTTTAATTTTTTATAAAATATGAGTTGGGTATGGGTTGAGTTTAAAGTGATATAGTAGAGAAATGATGTGACTTAAATATGGTAGTAACTTTTTGACTTTTTACCTTTTTTAGCGGATGACAAACAAGGCCTAAATATTCAAAGAATAATACTATATACATAAATTAGTATACTAATGAATGATATGACATAATTATTGACATTTTGAATATTTATAATTTATATAATGAATGTGGTCATAATTTTGAAATAGTAATGTCATAACATATGTTAGTACATTAATTAATATACAAATTGATATTACTATCACTAATATTCGAAACCTTAAAGTCACTAGAGATTTGATTAATAGCTAATTTTAAAATCTTAAAATTAGTTGAGGTAGGTATAACACGACATGTACACCTAATTATCAAAAAAAATAAAAATAAAATAAAATTATATTCCATTCTCAATTTCTTTTAAGCGAAGGAAGCCCCGGGGACATATGGGTCATATGAGCGAGGAGTTGGCTTTCCTTAAGAATTAATAGACACAAGTCAGTCCAAAATAGCTATAGTGAAAGAGAAGTGGAAGAATACGAGAGATCGTACTATTTAAAACACTGGGTATATAAATTAGAAGAAAAAAAAAAAAAAACTCAAAATATTACTCAAAATTATGAATTAATTGCCACGCGTCACTTATGATATGAAATCTCAATAATAATTTCAAATATCAATTTTTGATTTACCATGCTGATTCATTTTCTGATTTCATTTTCTAAGATACTAGACTTTCTCTTTAAAACGAGTTCTGAGGTAAGAGCCAGTGCCCCTTTTGCCCCAAGGCAGGGTAACCACTTCCTCCTAAAAAACAAAATTCAAACAAGCCAAGAAAGGAATTCACACTTATAAAGTTATATAGAAATAAATTGTTCTTATAAAAATTCATACAGAATCACATCACGTTTAGATTTTTTTATTTTAAAATAAAAAATCATTATATTACGACTTAAAATTATAAAAATAACATTATAACATTAAATATGAATTTTAAAAGAAAAATTACAAATAAGTGAGATAGTTTTAAAATAATTAATTATAGGTGAAATCTTTTTCAGTGCACATCTAACATACAAAAAATACTTGCACCAAATACAAGAAAGAATTGTATCATATGAGAAATTTTTGGGTATAGATAGCGTAGGTGCCATGTGGTACCTTTATTTTCTTTCATTGGTTGAGAGAGTGGGAGTTACATTTATATGTTAAGCGATGAGGAGACAACATAAGAGGCCATGGTATTTGTGATTGATTGAAGATATTATGCCACATAGTACCTATCTGCACCCAAGAATTTTTCGTACCATACGCACACTTGTATTATCATAAAAGTAAAATTATTTTTCCATTGTTGAATTGGAATGCAATTTTCCCAATTTTTAAATAATTTTTTTTTCTATATATATGTATTCCTCGTGTATCTTTCTCTCTTCCCCCTCCTGCTTCAGTTAGAACATCATCAAGACTCTCTCTCTCTTGATGGAAACGTTTCTTAGAAGAATTGCTTTGTTCCACACTGTTCTTGCATTTTCTTTATCTTTCTCAGGTACCTTTCTTTACCATGTGCACCTTTATTTCCTTGTCTTTTCATGTTCTTTGTGTTTAAACCCGTCTTCATTTTGAGTCTCTTCTTTCTTTCCTTTTTTCTTCTCTTTTCCTATATACATTGTGTTGATCTTATTCTATGAATCTATTGATTGTGTCAGGTTATGTTTTTGTAAGAGTTGAATCCCTTGGCATCAACTATGGCCAAATCGGCAACAATTTACCGTCGCCGGAGAATGTTCTTGGGCTCTTACAATCACTCAAGCTCACAAAAGCAAGAATTTATGACACCAACCCTCAAATTTTAACAGCATTTGCCAATTCTAGCATTGAACTCATTGTTACTATTGAGAATGAAAAATTAGGTGATTTAATTGATCCACAACAAGCTCTTCAATGGGTAAATATCCACATAAGGCCCTATTTTCCGGCGACTAGGATCACCGGAATCGCGGTGGGTAACGAGGTCTTCACCGGCGATGACACGACACTCATGTCGAATCTCGTGAAGGCCATGGTCAACATTCATACAGCTCTGAACCAATTAGGACTAGCACAGTACATTCAGGTCTCGACGCCGAGTTCCCTGGCGGTGCTGGCAGTATCGTACCCACCGTCTGCCGGGATTTTCAGGCGAGAGCTGGCAGGAATCATGCCGGAGTTTTTGCAGTTCTTGGCAAGTACTAAAGCACCCTTTTGGATCAATGCATACCCATATTTTGCTTACAAGGATGACCCAAGTGGTGTTGCTTTAGATTATGTGCTTTTTAACCCTAATTCAGGAATGGTTGACCCTTACACCAAGTTACACTATGACAACATGTTATATGCTCAAGTTGATGCTGCTTTGTTTGCTATTGCCAGAATGGGTTTTCGAGGGTTGGAAGTTAGGGTTTCGGAAACCGGTTGGCCATCGCGAGGTGATTCCAATGAGTTTGGTGCAACCCTGGAGAATGCAGCAATTTATAACAAGAATTTGCTGAGAAGGCAATTGGGAAATGAAGGGACACCAATGAGGCCTAACATGAGATTGGAGGTTTATTTGTTTGCTTTGTTCAATGAGAACTTAAAGCCTGGACCTACTTCAGAGAGGAACTATGGGTTGTTTCAACCTGATGAATCCATGACTTACAATGTTGGTCTCACAGCCTTGTCGGCGGCATCGACCTCTTCAGCTTCCATTTCTCTAACTTCCTCTGCCACTCAGGTAACGCGATTGGTTTTTTCTTTCTATAATGCTACGCATTAGAAAACATATTGATAAAAGTACCCAGAATTTAATATGTATTTAATTTATATATTTCAAATTCAAAACACTTTTCTTATATTCATATACAACCAAGATTTCAAAAAGCGGTCGCAACCGCTACCTAACAGTTGTTATGGTTACCGCTACCTGTTACAGTCATTATAGTGGTTTGACTGAAATTCATATATGTATCGGCTGTTTCGGTATTACGTAACAGCCGTAATAGTCCATTAGACACCGTTACACCATTTTACAATATTCTGAATAGCTTTCTTTTCTATAAAAAAAAAAAAAAAAGCTTACAAAAAAATAACAAATACTAAAGTGATCCAAATTCAAATAAAAAATCTTATATGAATTTTGTTTTTTTATAATTTTTTTAAAATTTATGACACAATTTTTATTTTATAATTCTTTCATTTAATAATTGTCAATGTTTTTTATTTAGTTAGTTCAGATATTAGTAAAAAATAATTTGTAGACATTTAAAATAAATTATTCTTCAAATCATTAACTATTGAAATAAAATGTAAAAAACTCATTTTATAGTGATTTGAAAATATGAAATATATTGGATCATATTTAAAAATTAACAAAAATTGATCAAAATTTATTTTGAACCCCCAATAAATGTGATTTTGAATATATATATATATATATATATATATGTGTGTGTGTGTGTGCGCGCGCGCGCACGCGCGTGTGTAACGGTAAGTTTTCTTCAAATTGTGCGAAAAATAAAAAAAAAAAAAAAACACGGTTTCAGTTACAACAACCGTTGCGCTACGGCCTTTATATCTCGCAACCGTTACTGCGTCCCCGCAATCGTTATGGCGACCGTAACTACTTTTTAAAACCTTATATGTGACAAAGTAAAAAAAAAAATCAATTTTTTTTCTCTAATGTTACGTACCCGTAAAAAAGAAAAATTCAAAAAATGTGCTCACAATTTAAAAATGTATATTCAAAAATGTGCTCACAATTTTAAAATGTACAAGGATACTTTTTTTTGACTATTTTTGTAAGTACATTGCTCTTTGGTTTTTCTTTTGTCAAAATTGCTTTCTAAATTAAGAAGACATTTAGGTGTGCAATACTTCACTATTGTATATACTGTCATATATATAGTCCATTTGGTTTGTTATTGTTGAACATTAATGTGATGCTTAGACTGTCCTCTTTCTTTGGGGCTTGCTTGGATGATGTTTATTGTGAAACTGCAGGAAGCAAAGGTGGGATATCAAAGCTTGGTGTACTGGATGTTTGTGTATTTGCTGGCCATTGAATTACTCGTGAGACGGCCATTTTAACCCATTCAAGCTCATGCAAATGCCACTTTTTGGCAATGTAATCCTTTTGGGCCTTTCTTGCAATCTAAAAATCATTCAATTTCAAAATTTTTTAGTTGTGTTTGGATTAGAAATTTGAAAATGAATTTATGTAAGGGAAAGGAAAGAAAAGATTGAGTGAAATAGATTTTTTTTTTTTTTTTTTTACAACTGTAGTCAAATTTTAATCCAAACACAATCTTAACAAGTAGAGAAGTTAAACTCCATTTTGACCAACCATACAAAAACTTTCACTATGTTGATGGGTTTAAGACAATGAGCTTGATTTCCAACTGGAAGGGGTCATTTGTAATCATCAAATGAATAGAATTTGATCAATCTATCCCACAATGAATTACACTGGCCAATTGAACGGTATTCATTGATCAGAAGATGAGCTTGCTTTCAAAAGGAGACAAGATATCTGTTTTATTTATGAAATTGAGAAGATCTGAATTCGATGTATTATATTATTACTGTAAACAAAATAACAATGCTAGGTATAAAATGAAGATGATCAAAATTCACTGTATTATGCTATCATTGTACAAAATTGGAAAATTGTTTCTTAATTTACTTTTGGCCTTTTAGCTAGGACTAGGAAAATATGTATGTATTTGCTTCTTTTATGTAAATGGAGAATAGTGAGATCAATCTTGTAAGCCTCCTCTGATTGGTTGCCAAGAAAGGTCCCCAGTGCTTTTTGGGAGTGGATTCCATGACAGATCCTATATATAATTACATTTCTCAAGTTTTTCTTTCTTTTATTATTCTCTCCCTCTCCACACACACACACACACATATATATATATATATATATATATATATATTAAAATTTTGAGATAATGTATACGAAAGTGAAAAGGGTAAAGCTTTGTTTCTGTTATCTTCAAACGGGTAATGGACGGCCCAGCTCTATTCCCTTGCCATAACCGTCAGCATTGGCCTACACTGTCCTTTTTCTTAAAGAAAAATGAATGGGAGCTCTAATTAGAGCTACCACTAATGATCTGCTACATGATGTATTGTATTTGTTTGTTTGTTTGTTTTTTTTTTCTTTTTATTTTACCACCTCATTAGTGATAGATTTAAAGCCATTAAATTAGTAGTTAGTAACACGACTGTTTTCCTAAAGATGCTTGAGATTTTTATGAAAGAAATGATTGTCATTATTGGGAGATGTGTTGTATTTTTATTGTATTACGTAAGACGCCTTTCACACTTGACTTTGGATCCAAGTGGGGGCAGTGTCTTCGGTTCAAACTTTTGAAGGTATCTATTGAAGGTATTTATTGTATTTTTGATTAGGATTTCATGAGTTATGTGAACTAAGTATTCTAAATATTCTATCAAATATTTTATTAAATTTTTTATATGAGTGTAAGATTATATATATGTAGATTTGTGTGAGTCTCACCCCATGTCAGAGGTTTGATAAAATATTGAGGGATTTGGTAATAGGCTCCTTACTGTCTAATTTGTCTTTCAATAGGACAAGAATTGTATAGGTACTTTTAAAACCTCATAATATTTTAAAACTTATTTCTTTTACTATATTACCCTCATATCTATTAACTCTCCTATTAAGCCATCCTCATAGTGTATTTCAGAGTAAGATTTTACTTTGAATCACAGTAACTGATTCAGAGTAAAATTTTACTCTCAATCAGAATAAGGTTTACTATGATTCAAAATAAAATTTTTTATTGTTAAACAAATTAACATGTTTTTAACCAGAGTAAAATTTCAGAGTAAATTTTACTTTGAATCATACTAAACTTTCCTCTGAAAGTACAATTTTACTCTGAATCAGAGTAAAGTTTACTATGATTGAAAGTAAAATTTTATACTGTTAAGCAAATCATCATGTTTTTAACTAGAGTAAAATTTTACTGTCATAAAAAATAAAATACATACTAAATGAACGAACCAGAGTCAAATTTTACTTTAAGATCTATTAACAAATAAAAAAGAAGCCAATTGGAAACAACAAGGTGACATCTACAGCTCAGATTCATGTTCTCCATATCTATAATAATCTGTCTCATTTTCATCAACATCAACACAAGAAAAAAAAGAGTGTATCTGTTGCAATATGTTTCTTTATCATCATCAACAATAACAAAAAATGATCTAAACTTACATAATAATAATAATTAAAAAAAAAGAACTTGAGAAGATCGAAAAAAAACAAATCAAATTTTTGAACAAATCACAGCCTTTTATCTATACAAATAGTGTGATTGAACACCAAACAAAAGTTGCGAGACTAAATTCGGAAGACCAGAAGCTCCCAAACAGAATCTCCCTTTCCAACTTCTTTTCTTCACTTTTGCCGTGGGAGATCACTTCGCAACAATCAACCACCATAGGTGGTAGAGGATCTTTAATCTACAATAATTATAAAAAACTTGCTCAAATCCACCATTAATGGAAAACAATATCAAATCTCGAATCCTAAATTCTCGATTTAGCTCGTTCATTTAAAACCCTAATTTCAATAAAATCACAATCAAACATGAAGAATAATACCTTATTATGCATCAAAATTGTGAATAATAGAGGTCCATAGTGAATAATTGAGGTGAGTAGGAGAGAGAGTAGGTTCTTCATGAGGGTAGTTGGTGAGGTCAACCGTTCTTATAGTCGTCGGCCACGGTGGCAGAGAGGCCTGTGAGGTCGTCGGCATCGGTTTTGCTACCAGATATGGTCACTCCGACCAGATCTCCTTTGAAACCCTAGCCACGGTGTCATCGTCTATGTATAAGCAATAGTTGTATTAGACGAAACTTAAGAGATTGAGATGGTGATCAGGGAAGATTTAGTTGAGGGTAAAATAATTTGATAAAATATTTAAATAATAAATTTTGTCATTTATACAAAACTTTATAATTATAAGGGGGTTTTAAAAATATATTTTTTTTGGGTCCTTTTAATAATAAAAAGAAGATAAGAGAGGTTTATAGCCAAATTTTCCTAAAATATATGGGATACATAGCATTTTTCATTTCATATTGAGTTGTGAGGTTCAAAATTCTTATTGATAATAGTGAATTTGATCTTCTTCTTTTTATAAATGTAAACACATTATAAAATCACGTGTATCTTATATTAAAGGGTGAATTACATTGACACTTTTTGAGATTTGATTCAATTATATTTCATCTTGTGATGTTTTGAAAATTATATTCTCACCCCCTATGGTTAATAATTTCATTTCATAAATCCTTTCTTATATAAAAAGTAGCAACTCTTAATATAAAAAAAAAAATGATATTGAAAAAAAGTAAAGCAAAGGAAAAAAAGAAAAAACAAAGAAAATAAAGTAAAGAAAGGAAATAGTGCATGAGTTTAATGTTTTCATTCTGTTTAAATAATTACAATAACAAAAGAGTTGGTGTAATTCCTCAAACATCAAAAAGTGATATGTATTAAACTCAAATTTCAAAAGTGTAAGTATAATTTACCCTATATTTAATGTATTTGCTTGGTTTCTATTTATTATCTTATGATTGAAAACATTTGATTATTGCATTTATAATCTTCATGTACTAATAGTAAACAAGCTTGTTTTGAGATGAAGCGTAAAATTTAGAGGAATTTATGCGTACGTCTTATTAAATGTATTTATTATCTAACAGGTCTTATGATAATTAATGACATTTTTCATCATACACTATTATAAAACGTCATTAATTGTAAACTTTCAACGACAGTTTGAAAATCGTCACAAAAAATATCACTAATTATAAGTTTTAGTGACAGTTTAAAAAATCCTCAAAAAAAAGTCACTAATTTTCAACTTTTAGGGACAATTTGAAAATTTCGTCAAAGAAAAACGTCACTAATTGTAATTTTTAGCGACAATTTATAATGTGACAAAAAAAAGTCACTAATTGTTAATTTTTAGTGACATATATAAAAAATCGTCACAAAAAATCATTTTTAACGACGATTGTATTAAGATTTGATGAAAATTAAGCCAAATTGTTAAGACTTATTGATAATTTATCGTAAAATGTAGACATTTTAAATTTATTCGAAGTTTGATTTATCTTGGTATTATCTCTAGTCTTAATTGAAACAAGTATTTTGTAAGTGATTGTATGGAGACTCTACATCACAGATTGTCATGTTAGTTATTTTAGTTTGGGGTTAAAAAGTTTCGTTTGAGATTTTGTGACTTTTTTTTTACTGTTGTGAGAAAAAAAAAATGAAATGATTATGAATTGAATGTAACATTTTGTCCTATTTAATTAGAATCATTTATTTTATCTTATATAACTATTTTAGCCCAAAGCATGGTTATATAAAATATACCAATTTGGTGTGAACATTTTGTTTTTTAAAAAATACCCACAACAATTGATCGGTTTGAAAATTACTATTCCATGTGAAAAAGTTAAACTGATTCAAAAATTTAAAATTTTGCAAGCATGAACAATCTTATTCATCTTTTTTATGATTATAAATTTTTTTTAATATATAAATTGCGTATACCTACCATTAATATATAAATAAATATATATATATACAAATAAATGAGCTTAGTGGGGGTGGTCTAGCCATCTCATATCAGCAGTGATGCACATGCTGCCCAACAATTGTTCTAGACCCCCACAAAGAATTTGGAGATTGGTCCCTTTTTGGTGAGCATCAACTATCAAAAAAAAAAAAAAACTAGAATACGTTTCAGGTAATATATATATATATATATTGACAACTCATTTCAGGTACATAGAGCTGGGTGTTTTGGTTGCTTTATGACACCATATGACATGTTCATAGATCCCCATTTACACATATACTACCATGTGCTTGTGCACAAAAATAAAATAAAATAGTTTAGTAGACAAAGCAATATATTCGAGTATTTGTAAATGTTATGATAACGTCAAATTATAGTGATAAATAGTAAAAAATTGTAAAATTATAGTAATAGTACTCTTTAGTCAGTTATGATTTTGGTAAAACTAAATATAGAAACTGGTGTGTTCGAAATGATCGGTCTCTAGAACACCTCAGTTTTTGTGTTTGGTTCTACAAAAGTAACAGGCGGAAAAAAGAAATGTTTTGCTAGGAAGGAGGAAAGGAGGAAGGTTTTACTTGATGAGTTGTTAGTAATGGCAACTACCAAAACTTGTGTCAATTTGTCAAATTTGATCACTGTTATAGCCAACTATTAGAGCTCATTTTTTGTTTGTAATTACCAAATTATGATAATAATAACTCCAATAACAAATCATTGAAGATGCTTTTATTTACTGAAATTTATACAGAAAAATGTGTCAGACCAATTGTTTTTGCCCCACTAAAGGTGGGGTTAATGCAGGCCATGAAAACTGCCCTTGATTTGTAGTGTTGTTACATTATTCAAATGTGTGGATGTCATTTTTGGAGGACCGTGGCCTTGATATCTTATTGTTGTTTAGTATTTTGGGTAGGTTACAAAAACAGTTCATGCTTGGTTGGTTTGTTTTGTATTTCAACTTAAAGTGTTGGTTTTGGCCAGAAATTTTTGTCATTTTTAAAAAAAAAAAAAAAAATGGAAACTAGTTTGATAAAAATAAATACAAAAAATGTTGTTTAATTTTTTAAAACTTATTTTTGACCCTTAAAAGATAAAATTATATAAAAATGACAAGTATTTTTGATTTTTTTTTTATTTCT